TTTTGGGGGGTTTGATGCTTTTTAAATCCTAATATAGATAATAAATATTTTTGATATTTCAAATAAAGTTTAATAGATGAGGGAGAAGATTCCTAACAAACGATGATCATAACATCAGTGAGCAAGAAATGACAGTCAAGTCATGGTGACTACTGGAGCACCAGAAATCTTAAAAAAAAAAAAGACGCCTGATTTATTCAGGACCAGCATGAGTGGTATTTTTAGTACTGAAATATCCACAAGTAAAATCTGCAGGAGGGAAATGTAAAGAATAAAGGGCAAGTAAAATGTGAAGTACCTGGAGCTACCAGTTGTTAACATGAGTTTGATGCTATGCTATCTGAGCATAATGTACCTCTAAATACTGGCTTTCATTTGACTCGCTGAGCAGCTCATTTTGTGACAGGCTGGTAATTGACTGGATAGTGCAGTTTATTCTCTATGAGAATGTGAGTTGATATGAGACTAACCCACCATTAAGCATTTGCTTGTCAGCTCAAACAGGCTTTTATTTAGTACTTTTATTCAAAAGAGGGAGTAAGTAAATAATGACAGGGAAAAAAAAGCCCTCCTATGGTAAAAACTAAAAATTAAAACTCCAATGGATGCTAAGAGATTAATTTTTCATAATGTTAAAATACAGTGGGCATAATCACCATTGTTTTATCAGTGTAAATTCATCTATGTCTGAACACAAAGGTAAAATACTCAACACCAGTGTTTAGTGAGCTTGTCCCTTTGTTGATTTTAAACCTGTAAAATTTCTAAAGAGATCTGTCCTGGCAGCCTGTGGGGTTGGGAAAGGAGATGCTAAAACCATTCTGTTTGTGAAAAGAAGATGTTCTTAATTCAAAACATCAAGTGTCATAATTGTTCTGAAGCAAGAGCTGCACTCAGCCTGTCATTAATGCCAAAGCTGTTTTTGTAGCCGCTGTTTGAGGGAGAAGACATCTTAATTAAACTCTGCCTTTGTTGAGGACATCAGAAATGCTACTGACAGAGCATGCATGCTAACTGCAATCGTGCATCCTGCCGTTGCCACTGACAAGGAAAAAAAACAACAAAAGCTGGCTGCAAGGGGCTGCTGTCACTCAGGTTGCTGTGGAAGAGAGGCTTGAGAAGCTGTTGCTTTGTCCATTCAGTGCAACATCTGAATTTTTAGCAACAACTTCTAATAACTACAAGTCAGAATAATTCTTTCCATGGTGGGGCATTGCAAACTTGTTACGCTGAACTGTTTAACATCAGACGTCAAGGTGCAAAATAAGATCAGTAAAAATCATTAGGAGATACTGAACTGTCATTTCATTTTGATACATGGTGAAGTATGCTAGTTTGTTTTTTTCTTCCTCTGAAGTCAAGGTGTTTAAATAGAAACGGTATTGTTCATATAATCACGTAGCTGGGGTGGTTAGGACTTTAAGAGAACTAGTATCAAAAGATCTATAATAAAACCATGAGAGCTGGGAACTGTTTGGTGAGGTCGTCTACTCTCATTCTGTTTGTTTGTGGTTTAATATTTTGATGTATTCTCTTGCCATTCCCTTTCTCTTTCACGTGGGACAAAAAAGGCATGTGTGGGGTCTAAGGGGTAAGAGTAATCTCTGGTCTGTCTACCTGTATCACTGCGGTGGGAGTTAAAAAACATAATGTATCCAGTGCACCTGCAGACAGGCAGCATCAATCTTCTGCTGGTGTTTCTGGGCACTGGTAGACACACCTGCTTTCTAGCAGGTAGTGGGCGGGGGAAAAAAAAAAAAAAAAGTGTCATCAAGAAGGATTTGAGAAACTTGTTTGTAAAGCATCTGAGGCTGAGACTGTTCCTGTAATTTTATGAAGTAACAATGGTAGACAAAACGCTATAGAAATGCAGAGACTAGCAGATTTCTCTTCTCTGCTTGCTGTCCAGGTGTCTCAAAAAGGACCTAAAAGAGTCATTTATCTTTCTGCAAGAAGAGATAAATTCCTTGTGTGACAAGATTGTCTGCTTCATCTTGGAGATATTTACCTTGAGGCTGTATGGAGTAGTCTTTTTGACTGTTTCTTATTATGACTTGCACTGAGATTAATGACTCATTTCATACAACTCCATCACTAAATCTAGGTTGCTTTTTGGCTAAGATCAAAGAAATAGTATGTCTCATTGTCCAGTTCCCTCAGTTTTTTGAGCACTGTTCAGTAAGAACATTTGGTTGTTATTTACTTTGATTTGTAGATCCAAAGTGCTGTGATGTATATTAACTAAATATTATCATCAAGATCTGCTAAAAAATTTCATGATTAAATTACTTGTCAGGGATAGAAGTTTTAATCTTGATAAGAACAGGTAGGAACTTAAGGTAGAAAATAAGTTCTTAGGAGGGTGGGTAACAAGGGTTCTAATAATCCACAGGAAAAAAGTAAAAAGAAAATTTCAGTCGCTACATTTCATGGGGAAAAAAAGACTTTTTTTTTTCCCCCATGTATTAGTCTATAGACATCTACTTTGCACAATGAAAACGTTAATTAGTATCACATTATTAGTAGTAATCCCAGTTGTCAATGAAACATTCAAGGGAAAGAGCCATGGTTTTGGACAGTTTTGTACAGTTCTCTGACAAATGAAATCATTAAAACTGCACACAAGTGAGATATAACACATGATGAGGATCCTCTGGCCTCATGCTATAATAGTTATTGTTTTGCTGTGTTTGGACTTGAGTGAACAAATAAATGGGGGATTCACACCCTGCCACATCACACATAGCCTGAAATGCTAGCTGAAATGTCTAGCTATACACTGTATTATTTTCATGCAAATATAATTTTGGATAGCTTGTAAAGCAGGGTTAACTTTAAATAATGCTTTTTGTGAAAACAGATAAATGATTGTGCAATTTCTTGTTAGAAAATAGATTTTACTTGTCAATTTAGAAAAATTGATAGAACTAGTATAAAGAACAACTTTGAAAGTCACTTCTAAATTTCACATTTTTCCCTTGAAGCGGTAGATGTAAACAGCTGGTGATAGTGAGTTGACTGTACTTTGCCTTCCTATGATACTTCTGTGAGCTTGAAGTGACGATAAAGAATCATTTATTTGTGATTCTTTGGTTGTAGAAACTATTTTTCAAAATAATGATATTTTTCTTGTAAATAGTTTTAAAGCTCTAGTTTTAATAATATTTTTTATTTACTCTTTTAAGATGACATTTTAGTACGTGTAAAGCAAATAAGTTTAATATCATGATTTTGGACGTGCACATTGAAAGCATGCGTTGATAGGAATACTGTCTGCGTAAGAGGAACTCACTTTTCATTTTTAAATTATGGAGATACTTCTGAGTTGCCTGATGAAGTTGATTGAGACAGTACATTCAAAGAATTCTGCTTATAAATTTTAAATTTTTTTCTGAGTACTTTTATATAAAGACATAGAGACACTTGCTAATGTAAAAATTCACGGAAAACAAAATTTGCAGTTAAAAGAAAAAAAAGTTGTAATGTGCTTATATGTTGATCATCAAATGTTTATATTATTTATTTCCATGCCTCAAAAGTGTTACAGTGTTAATATTTATAGTAACAGTTTTTATTATATTTACAGTTTAATCTTGTATTTTTAATTTAGGTGGGGTTATTGTTTTAAATGTCTTTGTAATTTGGATATGCAAGAAAAACATGACATTTTCATAACCATTTCATGGAACTGAGCCTCTACAGAAAACTTCAGAGCTTTCCACTCAGAGGCAGTTTTGTTTATTAGTGTTTATTTTCACCTCCCCTTAGGATACTGTAAGTAACCCAGCATGATTGACTGTGAGAGCAATTATACACAAATTCAAGGAGGATTTTATATTCTGGCCACAGGGTTGCATGGAAATCACTTCTGTCTTCCTTAGAAGTTCACCTTTCATTTTATTACGTATATATCTCAGAGTCTTTATGGTTTTAGTTCATTATTGCAGAGTTAAGCATGATACAGAATAGATGCTTTTAATGCCAATATCCCCACAAGTTTATATACTGGCTGCCTGGAGTTGGGCCTAATAGTTTATGTTTAACAATATTAATATCAATATCACACAGAGGTAGTACCGTTAATTTTTTTAAGATGCGATGTCCTCTTCCTCAGCACTGAAACAGTTCTGAGCAGCTTAATTTGTGATTTGGTAAGGCGCCATCCTTGAGATGAATCATAAAGTTGTGGTTTGGTGGCCCCTGCCCGATTCTTGGCATTTTTCATAAATGCAGAGTATTAAATAGGGTAGATTAACTGTTCAGCTACCTGAATTTCCCGTATACTTCTAGTTTACTGAGGGTTTTTTCAGGATTTTTCCTCTGTTGAAGGAAGGTTATGTCTTGCCCTGACTGTTGGTGTGGTTCTCTGGGGGTTGGAGAGGGCAGGTGAACTGTATCCATGTCTAGATCGGCAAAGTATTTTTGGGAACTCTTCAGACGGGACTGTTACAAAACATTATACCAGATAAGTTTATTACTTTTGATAGAGAATGGAATGAGACAGACCTTTTCTTCCAAGTGTCCTTAAAACCTATGTGAAGTATAGGAAGTTGCTAACAAGTATGAAACGAGTAGCGTTTTTTAAATGTTTTGTTAGTTTCTGTAAGGCTCTACACTTGTTGCTGAAGTCTAAAATTTTTTGCAGGGCTTAATCTGGTTTAAGTCTTTTGAGTATTGATATTTGGGGTGGTGGTTTTGTTTTTTTTTTTGTTTGTTTGTTTGTTTGGTTTTTTGTTTTTTTTTTTTTTGTTTTTTTTTTCCGTGTTTTACCTGTGTTAATAATAATGAAGGAAGTTGGAGTCAGAGAACAGGACATGCAACTGGCCTAATAATACTCCGTGGCAAGATTTTTCTCCATTTCCATCAGGACCCATCCTGTTGTAGTACTTACTTTTAAGACGGCAATGCTGCTTCACCAAATTTCCTCCTACAGTGAGAGAAGTAGGGATAACTCTTGGAAAAAGTTTTGAGGCTAGTGACAAAATATGTTTGTCTTTCAGATCCCCAGCTCAAGGGTATAGTGACCAGGTTATATTGCAGGCAAGGCTACTACTTGCAAATGCACCCCGATGGAAGTCTCGATGGAACCAAGGATGACAGCAGTAATTCTAGTAAGTGACTGCCCCAGGGGAATGTCTTAATCGCACACGCAGATTGCATCGCTCGAGTGTGTACGCGCAGACACAGTGTTAATGCCTTTGGAGGGTTTCTGAATGTGTTTTGTCGAAAGGCAGAAGGTTCTGTCCATTCAAAGCCTGCAGGCTCGTGCAGGACATTGGCCTAACTGTATTCCCTCTGAAGGGGAAGGTATAAGTGCCGATGGACCTCAGGGGTGAAATATTTAGGCCAATGGTTGTCTTCTGATAATACTATAAAAATAGTAAAGTTATATTAAAAATATTTTTTATAAAAACTGTATATTTAACAAAAATTTCTTATCTTCAAATAAATAACAAACATAAAAAAAAAGCAATGGAAACAAAAATTCCTTGAAAAATCTGATCATATAGGCCCTGATTCAGAAAAGCAAATAAGTGTATGTCTAACTATGAAAGTAATGCTTAAAACACATGCTGAAGTACCTTGCTGAACTGGGGCTAAAGATCCTACAGTCCCTATACCAGCAAGAGTTCCAATGATTTTAAGAGTATTTCTGCCCGTGTAGGGACTGCAACAGTGGCAGTTTTCAAAAATATTAAACAGAAGTGGTCTTGAAAGGCCATGTGGGTCACTGCTTTGGTTCTCTTTTCCTATGATACTGCCACATATTTTCATTCAATGAGCATATATACATTTGATAACTTCAGCTGCAAATGATAATTAAGCAAACCTATTCTTACTCTAGAAACAGTTGATTTTTAATTTTCTGTTTAGCAGAGAACATTTGTATTTTGTTTATTTTAATGATAATGGCATATTTAAAATATTTCTGTGTGATCTTGAGGTCTATTTGAATATTTTTTAATATAAAAGATTTATTTTCTTATTATGCATATATAAATAAGCCTTTAGTTTCTTCTAAAATGTTGAAATTAGGCTATAGAAATTAAGGGATTTGAGGTTTCTGATTTACTTTGGTTAGGTCCCTGTTTTATCTGTTAATGCATGGCTGTCATTATTAACACATTTCATCAACAGATAGCATGATCATCTTTTATTGTTCTATTTCTTTTTTTAGAATTGAGATAAATAATTGATTAATCTATTTTGATCTGTATTTCTCTGCTTGTTTTATGAGTGGGTTTTTTTCCCCCTTGTTCCTTGTTTCTTCCTTCGGTGTGTCCATCTCTCATGCCCACTTCCGTACTGGACTAGATATTAAGACCTTATACAGACAAGTTCATTATTGCTTTTATAGAAGTTTTGCCTATATGAGGTCTGAGAAATGTGTCTTAGATCGCGAGCATGTCCCTCTCCCTCCCTCTTCTCTTTCTGCCTCTCTCTTACTTTCAGCTTCAGTGAGGAGGTGTGTATGACGGCAACAATTTTGGAATGTTTTAATGTTATTTCTGCTTTGTTGGTTTTTTTGGTTTTTTTTTTTTTTTTTAATCTTAGAACTCCATGTATTTTGAATCTTTGCAAAGCTAGACCATAGCGCCTTACTTTCCTCTTTTCACTGTTGTCAGCTTTACAAATCTTTGGGTTTGTTTTTTTTTTTGCTTACTATGTCATTTTCCCTTTCTCTCCCCTCTTTCCCGACTTTCTGGATTTCCATCTGTCTGCCCATCTCTCTTGTTCCAAAATGCAGAATTAATAATCTATATTATAAATATTCCGAAATATCGAACTTGTCCAAACTCAGCCAAATACCAGATAGCAGTATTGTGTATTTTGGATAAATACTATTAGGTAAGATTGTGTTTTACTTCAACATGATTTTTAGGCAAAACCAATTTTTTTTCCATAAAAGGATTTTTTTCTGTTTTCAACTGATGTGATTCACTATTTGTCTTTTCACTTGTCCAATTTTACAGTATTGTTTAGTAAAGACAGTTTAGACCATATGGATGTAAAATTAATGTGTTTGCCAGGAAAGCATACAATCTCCACCTTTGCTAGTGTATATGAATCTATACTAAGAACTGAAAAGATTGATCCATTTGGTATATTTATGAATATATGAATATGTTTCTTTTGTGCTGTCAATCTTTCTCTTCAATTCTTTTCCCTTTCCACTCTTTCCTTGCATTTCCTGTTGAACTTTGTTTCCTATTGCTTTTCTTTATTGCAGTGTATTTTGGTTTTCCATTTCTCTTTTACTTTAAAACAATAATTTTCTCATGGATAGAAATCCTAATATTTTGATCTTTTATTTTGTGAGCTCCTTATCATGTTAATTTCTGGCTGAGGTTTATGGGTAAATAAGTTTTGGCAGCTGCCAGAGGGGGAAAATCCTACTATTGACCGTGGAGCTTGCAGGCTGCCTATTTAATGTGCCCGGTAGGCAAAGGGATAGCCATATATTAGATGTCAATCAGACAGATAGTATGCTTTTACCTTGATAGTGAGGAGGACTTTCATTCGAAGTGTGTTTCATAAAAATGGAGGAAATACAGACTGCTGAATGGTGTGCATCTCTGCCAGTCTTCCACCTTTCTTCAGCCCTGTTCGCTGTGCCTGAAGACTGTGAAAGAGTTCTCCTCATGCACTGACCGCCTCGGTAGCTGGGTGTCAGAGCAGCCAGAGCGAGTGAGTAGTGAGGGATGGAGAAGTGGTTTCTTTTTAGTCTTCAACAAGGAAACTGTTTGAAGCTTAGTCATGCTGCTACTTTTTGTGCTGTTGCAATTTACTCTGTGTCAAGCAGTTATGAGAGTGCTTGAAGATAAAACTCCATCGAGTGCATATATCATAATTTTGTGCTCGTTTTATATGTATGTCAGTAAACATAAATTACACACTATTGGAGTTGCAGTGTTATGGAGAGGTAGATTAAGATGTCATCCATTCAAATTGAGTGGTTCTGTTCACACCCATTTTTTTGTTTGCCTTTAAAGCTTCTTGATAGTCTCTTTAATGTCACTTTTCTCTTCTGTCTATCTGAAGTCAAAATGAGTTTTGACAGTGGTTTTGGTCAGCTGCTATAGTGCAAGCCATTGTCCTACTTGCTGTAAGTTTGAGTAAAGGCTAGAGTATGTAGAGATAGATGGCAAGATTTTTTAATGTATTGCTGTGCACAAACCCTTGCATGAAAAAGGAAGAAAGATGTGACTGCTTGTAATTGCATCCCTGAACGTACTTTCATCTGCTTATGTTGGTGGCCATGCTATTAGAACCCAATCTAAATAGACTGATGGGTTTCAGTTCATAGTCCTATTTTCTTTTTATATGTTTTCCAAGTTAGTGATGTTTTGTGACAGAGTATGAATTAATGCACCTATTGGTTAATGGTGCTGAATATCCTTAAATCACATCATAAGACAAAGGCCATTAGCTTAAATCCTCTCGTGTGTATAGTCTGTGTTTTTTTTTGCCAAACTCTCAGCGATATGTGTAAGGAGGCTTTATTATAATGCTTTTATTGTTTTAGGTGGATTTCTCTTCCTTCCTCTAATGCCTTAGAGTTTCTGGTTTGGTTTTGTGGCTTTCTTGTACTGAAAGCAGGAATGACTGTGGCTAAAGCTGCAGGCTTGGTTACCAAGGTCCTATTCAATGTAGCTGTCCCTCTCTAGCTCTAATTTTCTTGGATTTTACAGCAGTTCTCAGCATCACTTGGTGCAAATGAAACTTGCTTCAGTGTTCTCTGAGGGCCTTATCATTATTAATTAGGAAAAAGCAGCTACTACACAGAAACTATAAAGAAATAGAAGATATTTCCATGTTGTGCTTGTGATAAAAAGTGTTACATTCTCCTGTCCTCCCCACCTAAACCAGCTCATCTTCAGGCTTTGGTCTATGGAAGGTAGTTTTAGTAGGAAGAGTAATTAATTTGGGAAATAGGCAATTCTGATTCTTTAATTTTTGAGATTGAAACCCTGAATTTCTTAGCTCATTGGGCTTATTTTGATTCACCTGAAGGTTGTATCTCAGCCAACAACCACTGAAAAAATTCAACATAAATTATGATACTTTTCTTGATGGATGATAAGCCTGATTTTAACATTCAGATGTTGCTATTTGTGCCCCTTATGAAATTGCAGTCATGTTTAAAAGAGATTAAAAGAGCATTACTCATTTGTAGCCTTATTTCATAAACTGATAAATGCTAAAGTTAACATTACCCAAGCAACTTTGATTTGTCTGTTCTGTGCACATCTCTTGCTTAATAATGCAGCAACATGCTTTTTTTCCTTCGTGGCACTTGGTACCTAGTAGAGTTGCTGTTCAAGAAATCATGCAACCATTTAACATTCCTCTATTTTCATCTTTTAATGCATGCTCTTAATGTTGTATTTATATCTTCCAAATGGAATATGGAAGTATTAATTTTTTAATGTCTTTCTAAAGTACCTACCACTATCATACTTTGGTCTGAAGATATTAATAAAATAATCTTAACAGGACCCTTGTAAGGTAAAGGAGATAATTAGACAGAAGTAAATCACATGAAGATTAAGAAACAGCACCTGCAGTGTTGTTAAATTTGGATTACTGACTGTTAAATTTGGATTACTAAACTGAAATATTTGCAGTCTGATTTTTGCACTGTTTTTTACTGCTGTTTGTCTTCAGAGAATTACACAGGCATTTAGTCATCTATTTACATCAACTTTGGGAGTTAGGTAAGCCTGTTTCTCCCATCAGTATACACTTAATGTGACAGGATCAATGGAAGCCATGTTCAGCCATGCTAAAAAGTACGTTTTAATTACGTCTTTCATTCATCAGGCAGGTAGAATGGGTTTCTTCCATAGGAAATGAATGGATGGATCTCTGAATAGCAACCTCCCTGCATTCATTGCCTATCTAAAAGATGCTCTGGTGGTCGTCATTTTAGCCTGTAGGTCTGCAGATGGAAATAAATTAAAGAAAAAGTTGCCTTGATCTGATTGCAGATTTGGTGCTGTAGGAAGTTTTGTTAACTGACACCAGGGCAGTGCACATGCAGAACAGACAGCAGGTTTATAAGCCTCAAGCAATTTGTCTCTAGCAAGGTTCTTGAGAAAAACAGTGATCCGTAATGGCAATTTTCTTGTAGCTACAAGGCAGTCATACCTAAACAGACTTTTGTAAGGATATAGAAATATCTGATTTCAGGCATGATGGTATTACATTAAAAAAGGAAAAAGAAATGCGGTCGTTTTGTGTTTTGCTCAAGGAAGGAGTTACTACTTATCAAAAAGTAGACTTTAACTTTGGCTAAAACTTTTGGAGGATTAGAAACCAACTCAAATATGTTCCTGCAAATCCCCTCCATGACACCTAAACCAATAACTTTTTTCATGCCAGTTGTTCCTGTTAACTACCAGCCCCCCCCCCCCCCCCCCCAGTTTTTGACCTTGTGTATGGTGGCAGTAGGCTTGCAGGCTTAGGAAAGGGAAGAGCAACCATTTGCTTTACAGTTGTGGTTTAGACAGAACACCAAGCAGAGGTAAGGGGGCATGCACAGGCTCAGCGCTGACAAGGAGAAAGGGTTTTACTCGCGCCATTTTTGGCCGATTGGTTCACTTGGTTCTCATGATGTTCCCACATTTTTTTTATGGTTGGATTTGCCAGGATTTATGCTTAAGTGCGCAGCATGGGAGCACTGAGCACCAGGCAAAATTACATTTCCTGGGCTGTTCAAGGTTGACTCACTATGCTGGGTTTAGGTACATATAGATGTTCAGGGACCTCACTTAATTTTGGTTTCGGATCATTGTCTTAAAGACAGAGGGAAGCTGGGGGCATGGTTCTTTTTCACATCCCTCTCAGGTAAGGGCATAGCTTTGGCTGTGCAGACCTGAAATGCGAGCAAACTCTGGAAGGCTTTCTGCTTTTCTCAAGGCAGGTACTTAGTAGAGTTGTGGATAGCACAGGTGAATCTTAGGAAAGTCTGAAACGTGTAATTGAGCACGTAAGAACTGCTCAGTAATGAGTCCTGCACAGCCAGGTTCTGGAGGAAATTGAATTTCCTTTGGCCATCTTCAGAGCACCTTAAAACCACATGCTGTGCCTTACTAGTGCATGTTTGGCTGACCTCTGTATGAAGCACATTGCTGAGCATTTATCAATCAATAACTGAACGTAGGCTGGCCTCCCTTGTTTCATCCAAGACTGAAAGATTTTTGTGGAATTTACTGAATATTCTGTATGTGCAGAATTACAGCATTTCAGACCACACTCTAAAATTTTATGGTCTTAGACTAATTACAGGAGCTCTGACAATCTCAGATTAAAACTTGGTGGCAGTAAAAGATACATTACATACGCTCCTTGGTGCTTTCTAAATTCACCAGCAACTACAAGCTGCTCTAGTAATTTTATAGGTTGCATAAAACACTGCCATGTTACAGGCCTCCAATTTTCCTTCAGTGGTGGTTGTTTCCTTTTCCAGATTTGCTGCTTTAATTTTATTGGTAATACATCAAGTTATATTTACGATCCAGAAGTTTTGACTGAACCACTATGATTTGGAGTTATTTTTCATTAGCAGTTTCCCATGGTTGGCTTGTCTTTTGTGTTCACCTCCTTTCTTTATACAAGTATTCTTTGTTTTTCCTTCCTGGTATCTCCTCAATTGTTGCTACCCTCCCTCTAGCATGGCGTTCATATCCAGGTTTCCTCCTGGAATTTAATTCCTTCTAGAAAAAAACAAACTTAACTACCATCTGAAACCTAGTTTTGCTGTGACAGACTCTCCCTCCACCACCCACAATAGTGATTTTGCTGGTTTTGAAATTGTTTCATTTGAGGGTAATGGCTTATTTTTTTTTCTCTAACTTCCAAATTACATTGAATGTTTGGAAGCCCTCAATTCATGCAGTGTTTAGCCTGTATACTCTTAGGACATTGTGTCTGTGAGTGCCATATTTCACTGGTTTACATTTATCTTGTATAGATTAGAGAGGGAACCTTGTCTGTACCCAGTATTTTTCTAGTGAACAGCCCAGTAAGATGCTAGCATAATGGTGACTTTTGGAAACTACAGAAATGAAAATGCTATATGTTTGTGCTAATTCTTGTCTGATGTCATCTCTTCAATTCTTCTTTGTAAACCCATAAGTTTGTTTTCTGTTATTCCAGAGCTCTTTTGCATATATTTTTCTTTCTACAACTGTAGAAAATGCTCTGCTACAACAATTCCTAGCTTTATATTGGCTTTTTGCATTCCTAAAAAGATCTTATGTTACACAGTCTTTTTCTTTGTTGAAGGAAAGGTGTTTTGTTTTTTTTTTTTTTCATCCACTTCTATCTTTAAATTCCAGTAGTCAACCTATGTTTTTTCTCAGTTGTCTCAGTTGATTGATTTGATCATCTTCGTGATAAACAATCTATGGCTTTGTCTTTTGACCAACCACAAGTTTTCACACCTTGAGAAAATGTAATTATCCACTGCAATTACATGACCCTTTTTCTCTTGATTTGGGCTTTACCCCTGGCATTCTGATTACAGATAGCTTCATAGGGTACACTTTCTGGTCATGCCTATGGATGTCCTTCCTAAATTTGGAGGAACTCACTGTAGGTGTTACTGTGTTCCTGAGACTTGGCTTGGTGGAACCATGGTCCTCGCTGCATATGCTGAACACACAGGTTTCACTTTTGGTACTCATCCAAGGACTTGTGAACCCTTGACTCATCCACAGTGGAAAAACACTTAGGATGAACTCTGGCTCACCCAGATCTTTTCTTCAAGACTGACTGATGTGTGCTTTGCATCTGATTTCCTCATATGAGTCAGTAAACTTAGTTTGTTAGGTGCGTGCTGGCATAATTTTTAGAAGAAGAAGTGGTCTGTGTCTCCTACTTATATCGCTTTTTCTTTTGTTCTTTGGTGAGGCTGGTGAATTCCCGCTGTTCACACTGGTCTTTTTCAGATGCTCATCAAAGCTGTGGCTGTTTTCGTTATTACAGAGTTATATACCATTTCTAGGGTATCTGCTATTAGCTGATGTTTTAATTTATTTCCCCCACCCCCCAGAATTTCAGTCTTTTAACATGTTCTATATTCAGCTCAATAGCATTTATCTACATTTAGCCAAACATATTTCAGTGCTTTTCTGACTGAGGACAAGCCTCTGCCATTACCTGAGGACTGTGCACTACTGCTTGTATCAAATATATCATTCACAAAAGCAGACTAAATTTTTTGAATTGAAATAACAGACCTCTTGAAAGAAATCCTTAATGAGAGCACACCTTAATCCAAAACCATGAAAATGCCTAAGAAAATAAAAAGCTACTTGCCAGAATCAGAGATACGTATTTTCTGGAGGGTATCTCACAAGTATTACCCTTATGATCAGTCTACACTGATGAAGGAACTGCTGGGCTCTTTGACTCTTTTTAGACTGCCTGAGACGCTCATGTCTGCAGTGCTGCATAAATTATTACAGTCCAGTCTGCTGTGCTTTGTATTTGCTAGTTAGCACTTGTGCTAAATACTGAACTGTTGCAAGACTTATTGCTAGGTAGATACTTAGGCTTTAATTTTAAGAATTAACTTTACTGTAAGCAAGATTTTCTGAATTAGTTTAATTTTAGAATTAAAAAAAATATACAGAGAGTAGTTTTCTTTCTTTTTACTAATGATGTTTATTAGAATATTGTAATAACTATAGTATATTCTTATCTGGTCATGTGTTTTCTTCACAGCGTTATTCAACCTTATACCAGTGGGACTTCGAGTTGTTGCTATCCAGGGTGTAAAGACTGGGTTGTATATAGCCCTGAATGGAGAAGGTTTCCTCTACACATCAGTAAGTACCTTTCTGAACTCTGTTTAAGAGTCACAGATTAAGTTGAAATCTACACAGGAATAAGGTGCATATTCACTTTTAAGACATTCTATAATGTCTATATATGTGTATACATACAGCACACACACCTGTGTACCCATATATGTATGCAGCATATCTATAAATAGGATACAGTAGAAATTAGTCTGTATTATGGCACTATGTATGAAAGCCTGTGTGTTAGCAGTCCTAAAAAACCACATTTTGTGGAGCTCTTTTTCTGGTAGGCGATACTGGTAGTGTGCAGTACACCACAAAGATTATTATTTTCAATTAATTTCTCCAGAATTTTTAAATAAAGATCTGCAATTCTTTTCTTAGTGACTTGTTGATCAAAATCCAAAAGCTTCTCTAACAGTTACTTTTATTGTTAAGATTTACAAGTGTAACTTTCTTCTAAAATGTCATTAACAGCCTTCCAATTTATCACCATAATCTTGTAACTGCATGCTTAACATTATTGAGTTTTTAATTTCAGATATCAGGAAAATAAAGGGTTCTGTAGGGGACTATAACTTTGTAGAATGATCAGTTTAAGAAAAAAATCTTTTGAGTCACAAAGAAGACTGCTGGATAAAGTGATCAGAAAGTCCTCAGATTGTTTAAGATATTCCAAATGGTTTAATGCTAATCATTCAGTGTGTTGTTGTGAATATAAAAAACCTCAGTTTTGTGTAAATGTAGTGTCTTAACCTCCTTTGAAAGGCAAACAGAATTTAATATGAACAGACAGTTCTGTCAGGTATTAGCAAGATGGCTTAAAGGATTTTTCATTACTGTGTTTTTATTGCCATCTGTGTTGAATTTATTTACATAGTGCTTTTTCCATTTTTTATGTCACATAGTTCTTAATTCTCCACTGAGCTACAATATACTGCTTTGTTTTCAATGTCCATTGAAAGGAAATTGGACAGATTAAGTTTCTGATGCCCTGAGGGAAAGTATTCTGTTTGTTTCAAATATACAATTGTCTTGGAAAAGCTAATTAGGAAGAAAAAATGGAATTAATCTTGAATGTCAATGTCAAGACAAAGAGAAAAATCCTTCTCATAAAATGTCTGCTGGAAACTCCAGCAGTATGATCTAAAACATTTAGTTTCTCCTGATCAAAATAAAAAAAACTATCACAGGAAAACATGCAATATTTGATCTCAGAAGGAAGAAAACTAGAAACAAAAACCTAGAGCTATTAGAGAAAATGCTCTGCTGACTTCCCAGTTCCATCACTTTATGTGGGGAGTTCATTTCAGTATGATGGCATGAACAGTACTTTTTGATGTGTTGGTATAGTTAAGAGTACATTCCTGCCCAGCACTGTTTCTGAAGTGAGTTCTCTGCCCTTCAGAAAGAAATACGTATTTCAGAAAATGTACCAGTTTCCTGAGGGTAATTCTGCACAGGGAGGGACCCTACATGAAAAAATTCTGGCAGACACTGTGTTTATGTATTATTCTGGAAATGGTTCAAGTTAAATAAATGGTGTCATCTGGGGAGGGTAAAGGAGTGGAAAGTACAAGGCAAGGTAAGAAGAGATGCCTGGATCCAAACTTTGAATAGATGTGAACCTGACCCTTGAAACGTCCTTGGGTCTAACATCTTTGTGATGCCAGTGGGAATCTCAGTTGCTTTCTTCCTATATCTTCTTTTTGAGCAACACAGATTATGTAGGTTGTGATAAGTCTCATGGGTATAAATAAACAATTATGCATAAAGAAAATGTAATCCATGTGTTTAACTTCTGCAGGATTGCATGTTCTTTGCCACTAAGGGCAAGATTTTTGTACTTGATGACTTCATATATTCTTCTAGTTACTAGCAACTTGTTAAGTACTTCTGAATTTTGGTCTGTGAATTTTGTTGTGTTTTGAATGTATTTCACTTAAAAAATTTCTTGGGACAGTGTCTCAGTCTGTCACTTTACCTTGTCTGAGGTAAGAAAATGAGTGTTTTTTGAAGGTACTGCCTACTCTTCTTCATGTGGAGAATGAAAGACGAGTGGCCCATTAAGTGACAAAATGATGTCACAGAAAACTCAGTGGAAGCCTTTAGTTTTGGTATATCTGCAAAATGATTTTCAACTTACAGTTTTGTCAAATTGAAAAGTAGTAATATTTGGTAATCTAATGGAAATTTAAAGGTAGTGATTTCAAATCATCAGTGCTGTAATACTGTAATATGGTGCTGTAATGGTTTGATTGTTTCATATTAATGTATTGAAAACATTGACAATACATTTTTGTCTAAGTAATTGCCTGCTTTCAGCTTAGAGAGAGGCTAATGCATTTGAAAATAAGAAGACAAAGCATCAGAGAGAAGTTTGTCTTCTCCCTGAGGATCAAGATGAAAAAATACTGCATGCAGAGTATTTTAAATACTGTCATTTGTGGAAAAATAATTTTAACCAATCACTTTCTATTGCTGTCTTCTTGGTGGATTTTTTTTGTCTCTTTGTCACAGTTGTGTATCTGTCACAACTAAATGCAAAAGTTGTGTATTGCATATCATATGATTTTCCTTTGGCTATTCAGGGGAGGATGGGAGAAAAAAGTTTTCTAAGTTTCATATGCCAACTGTCATCATTGAAAAAAAGTGCCATATAATGGAATGCTAGTTAAAATTTACGTGTATTTAGATACATAACCAATTTCTTATAAACATTTAAAAAAAATGGAAGCTTGCATTCTAAGACCAAATAGCATTTATATTCTGAGACCAAAATCCTGTATAGTCCTTCTCTGCAGAATACTTGTGTCCCTTTTTCCATTCACAGTATATGAAACCCATAGCTTGTAAGAATATCCTATGTGTCGATGCCTCTCTTCAGAGACTGAATGCCCTAACTCAATTATTTTTATCATAAACTTCACCAGATGTTGACTAATTAAGAAACAGCACTGACAGGAAAGGTATTAAGTGTGATCCTGCTTTCTCTGATATGAAGTGTTTTGTAAGAGGAAGATGAAGGTACAGTGACAGACCAGTTTTACATATAGATTATCAAATGCAGACTTGACAAGAGCCTTTTCATGTTCTGTTTTTTGCCTTGCACTTTTAAGGGTTAGCCCACTTAAAGGCTACCCATTAAGCTCACCTTTTTTTAAGTTTTGATTTATTGCATCCAACTTTCTGTGTGCGTATGTACTTATACTTATATATGTATATCTGTATATATCCACTCATAATTGGGACATATTTATTTAATGACAGCTTCCCAATTCTAGGTGTATGTTAGTGAGCAATGAGAATTACAAAACTGAGTTGAAATTTATTTTATATGGATTAATGAACTGTGAATAATTCAGTATTTATGACTGAACTCATCACTGTGAAAGCTAGTTGGAGAAGCAGTTTTTTTCCACAAAGAATCATCTCAGTTACTAGCAAGATTATTGACGTAATAGTTATGGACTTTATATGTTAAAGTCCAAAAATATACCTTAGTCCTATCTCATCTTTGGAAAGGGTGAGCAAGATAAGCTTTTATTTCCAGGATTGATCCTGTCAAAATCAAAAGGAGTAGAACTGCCTCCATGCACCAAAAAAACAAGCACAGCTGCAAGGATTCTCCACAGGGAACAATTATTGCCTGCAGCAGGAAGATGGCAGTGCAGTAGATGGCAGAAGCTTTTATTGGTCTTGATACTAATTATTTTGGTCAACTCACTTTGCAAAAGGTTCATTAGTTCGACTTTCAGGGGGGATGCAGCTTCATGTTCTTCTTCTAGGATTTTCTGCTATCATAGCAGGATGAACTCAGAGGTAAAACTTGTAATAGTCCATTTTATGATTCCTATTTTCCTAAGGTGAGGATATGAGAGTCTTCTTGGATTATATCAATGAATTTATCTTGAGAGTTACTTGGTGTATCAGAAAGGTTTGGAAGGACTACTGTTTGGGCTTTTTTTTCATCCTAGGAGGAGTTTAGCAGAGTGTTACCAATATTTGGTGGCTACCAGAGTAAGAGGAAAGGGAAAAACTAAAATGTAGAAGGGAAAATATTCCTAACTCTAAAACACCTTTATCTGCTTGTGGTTTCTTCTTCATGTTTTCCTTTTTAACCATTTCTTCTGCCAGTTTTCACTGAGGCCTGAGGTGTGAACAAAACCAGAAAGGGAAGAGTACGTCTGTGATATTGTCAGCAGCAGATATTAAAGTCATAGCAATCCACTGCATGGTTTTTTAGGAAGGCTGATGAATTACAGACATACTTTAAAAGATCACTGAGCCTTCAGGGCAGAACTGCCTCTTCCAGAGTGGTGCCAGGCTGGAGCTGTGTGCTGTGGCTCCAGAGCTCTTCTTCTGGGTATGGGGCAGTGGCAACCTCACTAGGAGGGTGTAGAGAATGATGGAGAGACATGGCTGCATTTCTGGGAGGTCTTACCAATTTTTTATAAATTGTTTCAGGATTAGAGACAGCACACTACTCCACAGAATAATCTTCTTGTAAGATGGGGGTTTGTGTTTGATCTGCCACGGTATGCAATATTGAGAGTGTTGGAAGGGTGTTGGTTGAGTAGTGTTTCTGCGGCAGTAAGATGTCAGTCTGTGTCACAGCCTTCATGAATGAGAGAAAACATCAATACCTGTTACTGGGAAGTGTATTTGTTATATCTCTCTGCCAACTCACACCTGAAAGAAAAGCCTTTGAGGGTTTCTCCTGACATTTCAGCAGCTTCCCAGTGCTGGTATTTCCACCACTTCCTAAAGCCCACGTAATTGACCTGTCTGAGGAGAACAAAATTCAGCCTCAAGGAATAAGATAGGAGCACAGACAGTACAGCCTGCAAAGGAGTGAGAACTGAAGTAATCTGTATTTCTAGTATCTAAATCAAAGTCAAATGAAAAATAAGTTTCTGGTAGCTTTTCATAGAGTCTCTCTTTGTGCTATGGAGTAACAACGCTTAGTGCGTGCAGTACTTTGAAGGTTCAAAGGTGCATAAAACCTTATAATAAACAGAACA